CAAGCATATAAAATTTGCATTTTCTCTTATCGTTCTCCTAGGCAACTCAAAATAATTTTGTGCCAAGTAGAAACAATCTACATTGCTATGTCTTCCTCTTATATAGTACTTTTCACACTTGTTTTGCTTTGTTAATTGTAAATCATCGAATATCATTAAACTATTTTTAATACAGTTAAGATTTTCAGGTTCTGGTACATCATCTGCTGTTTCAAAAAATTTACACTCTATATCTGTTTTATCTTTTAAATCTCTTGAAATGTTTTTAATAATAAACTCTGGACTTACATTGTTTTTATTTATTTGATCTTGCAACTTAAATAGTTCAAAAATAACTTCTTTTGGTAATTTATTTTCAAAAGAATTTTTTAATATTTTGTATTCAGGTTGAAAAAGTGACTTTCCAAAAACTTGTAAATTATTATAGTCTAGCCAACCAGGTCTTAAGAGCAAGTTTAATAATAATGTTGTTTTTCCACAACCTGATTTTCCAACAATAATCCCTCTTATATTTTTAGGTAATAACTCATTATTATGACGTTTACTTTTATTTACATTCCATGATGAATCTATAATATCCATTTTTTTATTTATGAAAAGTATTTTTTAAATAGATTTATGTAAAATAAATTAAAATAAATTTATGTAAAATAAATTAAAATAAATATACATAAATAAAAAATGTACTGCCTTAAATGTAAAAATAAAACAGATACAATCAACTTAGAGCATGCTGTAAGTAAAAACAATAGAAATAAGCTATGCGGAAATTGTTCAATATGTGGAACAAGAAAATGTCAATTTACAAAAGGAAAAACAGGAAGTGATTTAGTAGAATTTATTAATAAAATCACAAGTAATAAAAAATTACCTTTGCAAGAAGTTTCCAGGTGAAATGCATATACCAGGTATGAACTTTGCAGGACCTGGTACTAATTTAGATGAAAGATTAACTTCTACTGAAATGCCTAAAAAATGGAGCATGCCTGTAGATAGAGTTGATAAAACAGCTTATATTCATGATCTTGCTTATAAGCATTATCCAGACAAAGAGCATAGAAACTTAGCTGATAAAATGATGCTTGAACAAATAGATGCTATACCTAATCCTACACCTCGTGAAAAATTAGAAAGAAAGATTATAAAACCTATCATATCTGCTAAAGTAAGGTTTGGTATGGGAAATAAAGGACCAATAAGTATTAAAGAATTATGCCAAAAAAACTACCATCGCACAGGAAAAAAGCAAACGACGTGAAATGGACTGATGAACTTGCAAATGAACTTCATAAACCAGTTATAAAACATTTCAGAAAAAGAAAAGTACTTTCAAATGGAATAGATGATATATGGGCTGCTGATTTAGTTGACATGCAAGCTTATTCTAAATTTAATAACGGTATAAAATACTTATTGATGGTCACTGATATATTTTCAAAGTAAGGATGGATAATTCCATTGAAAAGTAAGACAGGAATTGAAGTTGCTCATGCATTTAATAAAATATTTAAAGATAGGAAATGCAATAAATTATGTGTTGATAAGGGTTTAGAATTTTATAATAAACATGTTAAAGCATTAGGTATTCAACTTTATTCAACTGAAAATGAAGAAAAAAGCTGTGTAGTTGAACGATGGAATAGAACAATGAAAGAAAAAATGTTCAAATTCTTTTCAACCAATTCTACTAGAAAATACATTGATGTTTTAGATGAAATGGTAGATCAATACAACAACACAAAAATTTTTTCAATTAAAATGACTCCAGCTGAAGCAAGCGATAAAAAGAATGAGAATAAAGTTTGGATGAATCTAAATAGTAAAGTGATATCTAATTGTATTAAGCCCAAGTTTTCAATAGGTGATAAAGTCAGAATCACTAAAAAGAAAGCAACATTTGAAAAAGGATATACAACAAGATGGAGTGAAGAGGTATTTACTATATCACAAATTCAATACACAGATCCACCTACTTATAAAATAACTGATTACAATAATGAAGAAATACAAGGAACTTTTTATGAACAAGAACTTCAAAAAACAAGTCAAGAGATATTTAGAATTGAAAAGGTTATTCGTAAACAAGGAAATAAATCATTTGTAAAGTGGTATGGATATCCTGATACTTTTAACTCATGGGTTAATAATACAGAATTGAAAGCTATTTAAATAATTATCTTACATATATAAAAATGAACAACTCAAATGTAAATGTGAATATATGCGTAACAGCTACTTCTGGTAATGCTAATACAAATACTACTGTAACAACAACAACTTCACATTATAACTCCTCTGGATCGAGCAAATGATACAAGAAAAAAATTGTATTTTCTACAAGAAAATAAAAAAAATTGAAATGAGTTAAATAATTTTCTTGTATATATAAAAGAATGGAAAACGAAACGAAAAACGATATGCGAGACGAATTAATTAATTCTTATAAAATAACAGAAGAATTAAAATAAGAATATAAATTAAAAACAGAAAGACTTGAAGAATTAAGAGAGAATAAAGGTTATTTTGAAAAAGAAATATCTTATTATAAAGAAGTACGTAAACATAAATATGATGAAGAAGAAGAAAAAAAAATACTAGACTTGACGAATAGTTTAGAAGAATTAGAACTAAAATTAAAGTTAAAAAAATTAAAAACAGATATATTAATAGGTGATAAAATATTAAAAGAAGAAATGATAAAATGTGGAATGGAAGATAAATTTAGATTAATGTCATATTTAATATTAGATAATAAAATATTAGAATATGAAAAATATGATAAAAAATTAAACGAAATATTTTTAGAAACTTATAAAAAAAGAATAGATGAATTGAAATTTAAATTACAATTTGAAGATGAAGTATTAGAAGACTTGAAAGAAAGATTTAATTCAACATCTGAGTTAGTGATTGATAAAGAAAGAATGAATGAAGAAGTAAGTATATTAAGAGAGATAGAAATTTTAGAAGAGTTAGTTGAAAGAATAGAAGCAATAAGATTCGATGACAATATAAAATTAGTATTAGATGTAAGATTAGAAATAAAAAGATTAGAAAGAAGATTGTATAAGGCTTCGATGTAAAGTTTAGAATTAATTATATATTTTTTTTAAAAATATACAATTGTTGAAAATGAGTTAAATAATTTTCTTTTATATATAAAAAAGATGTCTTATGTGAGTATTGAAAATTTTGATGAAGCAAATTTATATGTAAAAGAAACAAAAATTAATAAACCTGTTCCACATCAAAAAGTAGTTATTGGTTACAACTATTCAGATTGTTCAGAGGCTTTAATAGTAAAAACACCAAAATCGTTTTCATATGGAGTTAATGAAAATAGAGATATAAAAACAAAAGAACTTACAGGATATTCGATCCCTTTTGTATGTGAAAATGATATACTTATTGCAATTATTGAAGCTATTGAAAGTTTTTGTAGAGATAAAGTTACTGAAAATGAATCAATGTTAAAAAAAGGTGGTATGAAAAGCCTTAATATACAAAACTTGAATATTTTAAAGTACAAAGATGATGACCCTAAAGCACATCCAATTCTATATGCAAAAATACCTATAGATTTTAAAAGTAAAAAAATGGATCAAGTATTTAGGAAAAAAAATGAAGGTGATATATTTTAGGAGAATTATTTACAAAAGATGTGACATTGTTGGATGCCTAGCAATTGAAGGTGTATATATCGGATCAATGATTAAATCTATTCAAGTAAAATTATTAGATGCAGTTGTATACAATAAAGAGTACAAGATAGAAAGATTAAGATTTTATATTAAAGATGATGATTTAGAAAGCGAAGATGATTTAGAAAACGAAGATCATTAAGATAAAGATTATTTATTTTTTATATTACTAATAATATAAAAAATGAGATAGGTCTCTTTGAGACCCAGGATCACAAAAGTGATCTAAATAAAATAATATGTATAAAAAATGTATATTGAAATAGAAAAAGATAAACAAAATCCAGTTATAATTAAATTTGATGAAATTATTAAACTTGATGAAAATAAAGAGTATGAATTGGCTCTTGATAAATTTCAAACTATTCTATATAGTAGTTTAAATAAAAACAAAAAAGTATATATATTAAATAATCTTGTAGATGGAAAATTTGTATCTAATAATGGTAATGCTAAGAAAACGACTGTAATGTATTCATTTACGCCTATTATTGTTTCTAAAAATTCATTTATTAATGAACAGCCATTATCTAAAAAATATTTTCCGTTAAAAACAAAGTCAATTTCAGAAATGAAAATTGATATCATTGACAACTTTAATAAACCTATAGATTTTAATAATGAAAGCTTTACCATAGAATTTCATATAAGAAAGAGAAAAAAGTAAGTTCTTTCAGAACTAATATAAATTTTTTATATTGAAAACGATATAAAAAATTATTACATATATAAAAAATGTCAAAAACAATACATATAACTTCAAACGATACTGTTATAAATGCTAATATGACAGTTCCTATTGAACTAGATGCAAATAAAGAGTATGGATTAGCTCTAAAAAAATTAATGACTTATAACAGTTTTCTAAATGTTATTGAAGGAGTAAGCAATACTATAAATATTACTATAGAAGCTAGTGATAATCCTATTTATCAAAAAATTAAGATCCCAACAGGATCCTATGAACTTAGAAATATAAATACAATTGTAACTAGATATGTAATGACTACTCTTAAAGATCAACTTGCTAAATATAAAGAGTCTTTTAAAAATGTTTCAGACGCTAAATCTTTAAAAAAAAAAGCTGTATACGATAGTATAAAACTTGATCTTACATCTATTATATTTGAAGCAAATTTTAATACAGAAAAGTCACAGATTATTATTAATAGAAGTAGCAACATTAGAATACAATTTGATGATGACTCTATAAAAGATCGTTTAGGTTTTAATAATAGAGATCGTGATGGTACACTTATAACATTTGACTCATCAAAAGTATATATTTCAGATAAAGTAATGGATATAAATCATGTTAATACTATTCGTGTAACAAATAGCTTTGTAGCAGACACAATTATAGATGGAGCATATTCAAATGTTATATATTCATTTTATCCATCTACACCAATTGGTTGGAAAATTGTAGAAGTACCAAATAACCCAACTTATTATAGATTATTATCAAAAAAAATTTGGGATATGAAAACAACAATAATAGATCAAGATGGGCATATACTTACTTTACAAGGAGAGCCGATAAGTATTGAATATGAAATAAAAGAAATTGTGTCAAAATGTAAATCAGAACATCTTTTAGAAAAACAAGTATTTCTTTTAGAAGAACAAAATGAACTTTTAAAAAAACAATTAAGATGATAGCATAGTCATTAAATGAATTAACTAAAATTATTATATATAAAAAAATGTTAGATATAAATAAAAAAGCATATACACACAAGTATGTAGTAGTTGGAAGTGGAGTATTTACAGATATAAATAATATGTATAATCAAGCAAAATCTTCTGATTTTTTTAGAGCATTATCTGGTATGAAAACAATGTTAACAAATCATTTTAATAAAAATGGACCAATAATAAAATAGTTTTGGTTTATCTGATTCATGCTAATGAATTAGCGAAGCAAGAATCACAGAGTGATTTAAAAAAAAAATATACAGTAAATAAAAATGTTTATTCATATTTTGATTTCTTTATTCAAATTAAGATTTGATGAAGAAATCAAAAAGTATGAAGAATATGAATTTACACCATCTGTTAATTCTAATTTAAATTCAGAAGAAATAAGAATTTATGTTGAAAATAGTGATTCTTTGTTTCATCCACATGAATCATATTTAGAAATTGAAGGAAGACATGTAAAAGCAGATGGAAGTGCATATGCAAATGCAGATGCAATAACACTAACACACAATGGATTTATGCATTTATTTGATAGAATTGAATATAAGTTCTATGATTCAGTAGTTGAACCAGTTAATTTTCCAGGTAATGCAACTACAATGCTTGGAATTTTGAAATATCCAAATGACTTTCAACAATCAAAAGCAATGAATCAATTGTGGTTTAAAGATACTACATCAACTGCAGATTTAGTTAATAATGCAGAATTTTCAGCAAGGCAGCAATATATCATTCAAAAACCAACTACAAAAGGTTCATTTGAACTTAATATCCTATTAAGACATATTTTTAGATTTTGTGATGACTATGATAAAGTTTTTTATGGATTAAAGCATGAACTTTTTCTGTTAAGAGCAAGTGATGATAATACAATTTTAAAAGCTGCCGGTGTAGCTGCAGGAAAAATAAATATTGCTAGAATATCATTAATGATGAGATGTGTAACTCCATCTGCTGTAGCAGATTTAGAACTTACTACAATAATTAAATCACAAGAAACACTTGATCTAGGTTTTAGATCGAGGTACTTAGACAAAATGAATGTTCCACAAAATACATCATTTGACTGGAGATTAGGAGTAAGAACTACTGAAAAACCGAGATATATTCTTGTTGGTTTTCAAACAAATAGAGAAGAAAATCAAGAACAAAATTCTTCAATATTTGATCATTGTGATTTAAAAAACATGTGGATTGAACTTAATGAAGAAAGATATCCTGCTACTAATTATAGTTTATCATTTCCAAATATGAAAATTACAAGAGCTTATAGACATCAAATTCAGCATCAAATTTTGCTGAAGATTATTATAATATGACAAATCTTATTAGTCTATGTGGTATAACTCCTTCAGACTATAGAGATTTATATCCTATTATGTATTTTAATGTAAGTAAACAATCAGAAAGAATGAAAGATTCAACAGTAGATATTAGAATTAAAGCAGAATTTAATACACCTGTTCCAGCAGGTACTATAATATTTGCTCTCATCATTTCAGATAGAATAGCAAAACTTACTTCTAATAGAGATAAATTAAGATTTGAATATTAAGTTCTTTTTGAACCCAGACTTCGTTAGATCCTGAAAGGATCCATGCTACGCTAAGTTCTTTTAGAACCCAGACTTCGTTAGATCCTGAAAGGATCTATGCTACGCTAGATTCCAAAGGATCAATAAAAATGTGATTTTTTATAGAATTTTTTTATAAAAAATTTAAAATGATTTAAATATTTTTCTTGCATATATAAAAAGAATGAGTGACAAAATAAAATATACAAAAAAGTATTTATTAAAATTACTAAAACAAAATAATGTAAAACAAACATCTAAAGATCCTATGGCGTTAGTTATGATTGCTATGGATAATAATTTAATTGATAAAGAATCTGTACAATCAAATATCATTACTAAAAAAGAAAAAGTTAAAAAAGTAAAAATTAAAAAAGAAAGAATTAAAAAAGAAAAAGTTAAAAAAGAAAAAGTTAAAAAACCTAAAAAAGAAAAATCAATAAAAGAGAAAAAGCGTGCAGGAAGACCAAGAATTCATCCTATAAAAGAAAAAAAAGAAAGAGATCCTAAATATGATAGGCTTGTAACAATTAGAACAAATACAACAACTATAAAACTAACTAATGTAGAAACTGGAGAAGTTAAAACATACAATTCTAAATATGATTATATCAGAAAAAAAAAACATGGGCATATATATTTAGAAAAGTAAAATGGAAAAGTTAAAAATGGTGTTTTAATAGAATTAATAAGAACTGGATCTGAAGGATTTAAATTAGAATGTCCTGAAATTACTCAAGATGAAAAAGAAGATTTATAATGTTTTAAATTATTTTTATAGGCTATCTATAAAAATATGAAAAAGAAATTTATTTAAATAATTTTTTTAGTTTTTTTAAAATATTTTTTATTTTTTTTGTGCAAGAAAATTAAAAAAAATGAAAATGACATAAATAAAAATATCTTAAAAAAATATGAGATTATCAGAAATGAAAAAATCGCTAAAGAGCGAAAAATCAAATATTATTATAGAATGAGAAAAGCAGATCTTATTAGAGCAGTTGAGCAAGCAACGTCTATTAGAGCAGTTAAGCAAGCAACGCCTATATTAGACGAACCTATTCCAAGTAATATCACTCAAAATACTTTAACACCTACACAATATGTTCCAAGTAAGTATATCAATATTATTAATAATAAAGTAAATTTATTTGCTAATTGGATTATGTCCTATGTTCCTGAACCTATTAAAAGTACTGCAAATGAGAAAATCGAATCAATAAAATCTACAGTTTCTAATTTGTATAAAAAGTTTGGAACTAGAAAAACAATAGAGTTTAAATTAACACAATCAGCTATTAAAAATGTAACAAGGCAATTTTCAGCTCAAGGTGTTGTAGGATATGATGTTTTGTCTTTTATGAACTTAGCTAAAAATAATGTCATTAAAATACTCAATAACAATAAAGGATCAAAAATTAATATTGATCTTTTATGTGAAATGGAGAGTACTGATATTATAACAGGAGAAACTATAACAAGTGTTCCAATTTTTAAATCTTTATCAGAAGTTGTTTTAGAATCAGCAGATTTAAATGACTTTTATGAAAGAGCTAAAGAAAAAATTTTAGAATGCATAGCTACATTTCAACGAACAAAATCAAATTGGAGATTTGTATCAGTTGTAGAGATGGATATAAATATCATTGAATATAAGCCTATTAAAGGTAAATCTTACATTCCTCTTCCTAAAGAGTTGACAGCTAAAAAAGCAATTATTAATATGAAGAATGAAGACAACGAATGCTTTAAGTGGCGTGTTACTCGATTTTTTAATACTAAAGAAAAAAATTCTGAAAGAATAGATAAAGATTTAAAAGAACAATCTGAGAAATTAAATTGGGAAAAAATAAAATTCCCAGTGTCACTACAACAGATTACTCAATTTGAGAAAAATAATCAAGACATAAGTGTTAATGTCTTTGGTTATGAAAGTTCAGTTTATCCTTTAAGAATATCAAATGAGAAAAACAGACAACATAAAATAGATTTATTACTCATTTCAAACAATGATACAAATCATTATTGTTTAATAAAAAGTTTAAGTAGATTACTTTCATCACAAATATCTAAAAATAAACATGAAATGTTTTATAGTAGAAATTGCTTGTTAGGATTTAATACTGAAAAATCTTTATCAAAGCATAAATTGTATTGTGATACTCATGATTCAGTACGAATAGAACTTCCAAAACCAAATACAATGATTGAGTTTAAAAATTATAACAAGTCTATGAGAGTGCCATTTGTAGTCTATGCAGACTTGGAAAGTTTTATAAAACCAATCAACACTTGCTCACCTAATCCAAATGAATCTTATACAAAGTAATACCAAAAGCGTACACCTAGTTCATTTTGCTACTATATTAAATGCTTTGATGAAAGTATTGAGAAAACAATTGAGAAAACAATTGGACATAGCATACTAGCTACATTCACTGCAGATAGTGAAGATGATGATATAGCACAAATTTTTGTTGATAATTTAGAAACAGATATTAAAAAGATTTATAACAAGTACTTAAAGTTTCCAAAAGATATAATATTTACTAGTAAAGACAAAAAAGAATTTAACAATGCAAAAATATGTCACATTTGTGAAAAAGATCTTGAAGAAGATAAAGTAAAAGATCATTGCCATATTACAGGTAAATATAGAGGTGCTGCACATAATGAGTGTAATTTAAATTATAAAATTCCAAATTTCATACCTGTCTTTTTTCATAATTTATCTGGCTATGACTCTCACTTGTTCATAGAGAAATTATCAGGAAATGGAGAATCAGAAGAAAAAATAAATTGTATACCTAACAACGAGGAAAAGTATATCAGCTTTTCTAAACAAATTAAAGTTGATGAATATATTAATAAAAAAGGAAAAAAGGTTGAAATTAAAAAAGAACTACGTTTTCTTGATAGTTATAAATTTATGGCTTCTAGTTTATATGAATTAATAAAAGAATTCAACAAAAGATCTAGATTTATGTTCAAATAAAAAATTAAATTTATTGTTAAGAAAAGGTATTTACCCCTATGAATGGGTAGATTCTTTCAATAAATTAAACGAAACGCAATTACCTCCTAAAGAATCATTATTTTCAAGATTAAATAATGAAGAAATAAGCGATGAAGATTATTTACATGCACAAACTGTATGAAAAGAGTTTAATTGTGAAACATTTAGAGATTACCATAATTTATACAATGTTGCAGATGTATTATTATTAGCTCATGTCTTTGAGAATTTTAGAGATGTATGTATAAAAAACTATAAATTAGATCCTGCTTGGTACTATACATCACCAGGATTAGCTTGGGATTCTGCATTGTTAATAACTAAAGTAAAATTAGAATTAATAAGTGATTATGATATGATCTTAATGATAAAGCAAGGAATAAGAGGTGGAATTAGTATGGTTCCTAACAGGTTAGGAACTGCTAACAATAAATACATGAAAAATTATGATAAAAATAAAGAATCTACATATATACAATATTTAGATGCAAATAATTTATATGGATGGGCGATGAGTAAACCCCTTCCTACACATGGATTTGACTGGATGAGTGATGAAGAATTAAAAAATTGGAAATCTACTTCTTGTATATTAGAAGTAGATTTGGAATATCCTGAACATTTACATGATTTGCATAATGATTATCCATTTGCTCCTGAAAGATTAAAAATAGATAAAGTTGAAAAATTAGTAACTAATTTAAATCATAAGAAAAATTATATCATACACTATGAAAATCTTAAATTTTATGAAAGGTTAGGATTAAAGATTACTAAAATTCATAGAGGAGTAAAGTTTGAAGAGAGTCCATGGTTAAGTAAATACATTGATTTGAATACAAATCTAAGAACAAAAGCAACAAATGACTTTGAAAAAGACTTTTTTAAACTCATGAATAATTCAGTATTTGGAAAGACAATGGAAAATATTGAAAACAGAGTTGATGAGAGATTAGTCGCTAAAAAAGAAGAAGCTATAAAATTAGCATCAAAACCTAACTATGAAAGTAGAACGATATTTGATGAAAACTTGATAGCTATTCATATGAAAAGAACAAAACTAATTTATAACAAACCCATTTACTTGGGTATGTGTATTTTAGATTTAAGCAAAACATTAATGTATGAATTTCATTATGATTACATCAAAAGTAAATATGAAGATAGATCTAAACTGTTATATACAGATACAGATTCATTAATTTATGAAATAAAAACAAAAGACTTTTATGCAGATATTACAAATGACATTGAAAGTAAATTTGATACAAGTGAATTTAATAAAAATCATCCAGCAGTTCGAAATGGATTTAAAGTAAGTGTAAATAAGAAAGTATTAGGAATGTTTAAAGATGAATCTGCAGAAAAACAAATTTCAGAATTTCTAGGACTCAGATCAAAATTGTATTCATACAAAATAGATGAAGAAGATAAAAAAAGATGTAAGGGAGTAAAGAAAAATGTAGTTAAAAATTATTTAACATATGAAGATTATAAAGATTGTCTTATGAATAGAAAAGATCAAATGAGAAAAATGAATATCATAAGATCTCATTGTCATGATGTTTATACAGAAGAAATAAACAAAATAGCATTGAGCGCAGAAGATGATAAAAGAGTTATTTTAAAAGATGGAATTCATACCCTAGCATATGGACATTATAAATTAAAAGATAAACCCAACTTTTCATTTCAGATTGATTGGAAATAAACAGGCAGGTAAGTAATTTTTTATATCTTGAAGACATCTAAAAAATTCTAAAACTATTAATAAAAATGGATAAATATATCAATGTTAAAGGAATTATATTGCCAAATGTACCCTTAACAAACTTTCAGTAAATAAAAGCAGCAAAAAAATTAAAAATTAAAAATTTTAGAGGTGTATTTGTAAGAGATGAATTACCTAAAAATACACAAAACAAAGAATGTGGAATATTAAATACTGGAGATTCAAGTACGAATGGATTTCATTGGATTTGTTGGTATAAAGATGGAGATGAAAAATTAAGTTTTCTATAAAATGAAATTGTAGTTGTTGGACCAATTATACTACTTGATTGATTCAACAATCCTGATGCCTCATTATTAAATGAGCTTACATTAGATCCATTCCATGAAGAGAGATAAAAATCTTCTAAACCTGATGAAGCGTAGATGCATCGACTGTTAACATCATATCCAGAAAATGTAGTATATCCATTATTATTATAAGGTGTCCAAGGTTGAATGACAGAGTTAGTATTGAGATGACTCTTATGCATTACCACCTCCAGTTGAATTTGTTCAATATTTACACAGTCCTATTTATTATAATAGTAAAAGAATTCAGTTTGGAGACACTTCTTTTTGCGGACACTTGTGCCTTTATGTATTAAAAAAGCTTGATGAAGGTGTTGATTTTCAAAGTATTGAAAATTCATTATATTGAATTAGCGAAGCTAATTCAATATAAAGAATCACAGAGTGATTTAAAATATATATATATAGTATATAAAAAATGAGTATGAATATAGCCGGTAGTAATTCAATGTATGGTTACACAACAGATGGATTGAGTATCAACATTAATGTTGGCAATAAAGCCACTACTGATGTTGATTTGAATTCACATAAATTGATCAATGTAGCTGATCCTAAAGATGCACAAGATGCAGCTACAAAGAATTATGTAGATAATAATCAAACTTCTAGCAGTGCATGTCTAAGACTAGATGGAACTAATAGTATGAGTGCTAATATAA